CTTTTGATTAAATTGAAAAATCCTAGATATTCATAATTATCTTATATCTAAAATGTAAAAACTTACAACACAAACATTGAGTTAAATTTAGTTTAGTAAATGTATTCTCATCGTAACATTCTTTCATTATTATCACACACTATTTAATTTAGTGTTTCAATTTCCTCGATAAATATATGTAATGCAGTTGTATATATCAAGCATACTAAAACATTTAAAAAGTAAATCCGTACTACATATACAGAAAAAGCATGAAATGTATAGTAGACTAATACGTATTATAATCAAAATATTATTAACTACGAAAAAAAAGAAAGTAAAGCATATTTATATACAAATTTGTTAACTACTATATCATATCATTCAACGTATCTAAAGTATAAAAAAATTTGTTTTCTGTGAATTATAGTTTAAGTATGTTTTATAGGAATTATAAAAAGTGAAAAAATACCTATGCATATCTAAGGAAAAGAAAATAAAAGAATTAAGAAAAATTATAAGAATGTCAGAAGCTCGAAAAAAAACACATGTAACGTGTCTCATTCACATCGGAACAATGTTATCGTTGAATGTATTATTTTCTCACTCGTCTTTTCGAATATCCCAATTTCTGCATCGTTATAAAAACGAGCAATTTTATTATTTTATATAAAAAACCTAAAAATCATATAGTCTTAGAGTAAGAGATATCATCAATACTACCTTCTCAACCAAGGATATAAAATTTGTTAATACTTGTTTGCGTCATTATCAGTACAGGTCAATTGAAAGATCCTATTTAAATATAGTTTTAAATACAATAGAAATATCATTTGACGTGACATACGTTTAACAGCTCAGTAGCAATCGAAGAAAATCGTCCCGCAAACGTTACGTGTGGGACAGTGTTACTTTTTGTTGCGTTTAATCATGATATTACAATTCTCATTAAACAAATATATACTTTAGAGGTCCCAAAACTTTGTCCGTCATTATTCCGATTATAACATTTTTATTTTCGCTTTACATATTGTGTAACTCAGTACACATACCTGGTTTTGTAAATGCTAACTATCTCAGCTAGCACCCTGGCTAATAAATGTACTTTGAATTATATATTAAATAATAAAGTATTCTTTTCCATTTTCAAGATCTCGATAATATTCGTTTTTCTTAATACAAAGGATGTGACGTCAGAATCTTTGTAGACAAGCTATATAGCAGGTAATGACTGTTGACACAAGGTATGACAAATAGAGACTACGTTCACGAAGTCTTATATCACATCCGTATTAACTTTGGCGATAGTCAAATTATAATATTGCTGTAATTTGTTTCGTCTCTCTCCTCTATTGCAATCATGCGTCTATACCGCAGTTAAGAATTCTTCAAAATTCTTTTACAATATATGTATACCACCATCGTGTTGGTTTCAAAGTACTGATTTTCGTGTCAAGTTTTCTAACGCTCCCCTCTCGCGTCGGAGCATCGAAGATATAATATTTGTCCTTGTTACTGAGAAACTGCGGTAATTATAACAACGGGGAGTTCTAACAAAGTATTTCAGACCTAACTTGTGGAGACAACCGGAGTCTGGCAGTACGGGCACTCTCGTTGATTTGGAGCGCACGTCGAGCAGACCACGTAGTGGTTACAGGGTGAGAGGGTAACAGTGCGATTTTGTTCCTCACAAACCATGCACTTTGTTGCCGTTTCTCTGTACAGCACCTGTAACGGCAACGACTCAGCTACCTATACTGTTCCCATTAATCGATCTAGTCGCAAATATTAATTATTCTATTACAAATGCTAGATAATTTCAAACGTTTCCAATTAACTTAAAAAAAAAACATAAATTGAATAGATCCACGTGCAATACGATTCAAAAAATTCTACTGCCCCCGTATAACGCGATACATGAATTGAATATAAAGACTATATTTATTATCGGATACTACACATACATGTACATAATTTTTTGAAGTCATTTTTCCATCACGTTATATGGAAACGATAGCAACTTTTTGATCATGTTGTACGGAGGCCTACTACAATTTATGTATAAAGAAAATAAAGATGAGGGAGTAGTAGCAGTAATAATAGTGGTACTAGTGGCAGTAAAAGTAAAAGTAGTAGTAGCAATAGTAGAAGAAGAAGTAATAGTAGTAGTAACAGTAGCAGTAATAGTTGTAGTAATAACAGTAGTAGAAATAAACTTCTCGCATCCTTTTCGATAAACTAATAATTAATTGGGGATCGCTTGTTATACCAACTGTTCAAACCGGCGTGACAACTTTGCTTTACCTTTTCCACCTCTTCGAGATCCGAACGGAGTTGCGATTGAATCGTCTTTAACGCAGCTATCGACAATGTTCTAAGTTCACTTGTTCTTCTCAATGTATGAAGGTAAGGGCCACCACCGCTGGATGCTTCGTTCTCTGCCGTCAAAGCTTTCACTTTCAATAGGGCCTGTTGATATTTTACGTTTTTAATATATTTATAGATACAAGTTACGTCAGAATAATTAAACATGTAGATAGTAACCGATAGTCAATTAACGCTAAAAATACCAAGAAATTAAAATTATTAAATTTTAGTTGTAACATAAGAATTGTAGAAATCTGAAATTGGTCATTTTGAACACTCTCATAATTCCAGCGTTAAAAAATGATACATACTTCATCTCTCTGCTGTTCAGCGATTCTTGCTCTACTTGTAGCTTCCTCGGTTTCTAATTGCCAGGCGGCGCAAGCTGCTCTAGCTTGGTTAATTCGTTCCTCCCATGTTGCTAATTGAGCGCGGCTCGATGTTAATTCTTCTCTAAGCCTTTGTACCTACGAAAAATGATTTTAACCATGAATTGACTATTCTACAAGTCGATCCTTCGAATAGAACGGTGACGTTCGACTTAAAAAACTGGGGGAACGTCTAACCTCGGACAAAGATCCTGTATTACTAGGACTGATGGAAAATGCATTGACCAACGGAGATGCTGGGAGAGGTTGTGTACGAGATGGAGACATTCCTTGATTCGTAAAATCAAATAAGCTACTATTAAATCCACTAAGTTTAGAAGCTGAACTGCTAAGTTGTGAGATATGATTGCTAAATGGATCTGATACTTGATTCATAAATGGCATAGTCTGAAATCAATTGAAAAAAAAAAAATAAATAACAAGTTGGAATAACTTTTAGCGATAACTTTTTAATTCGTACAAAGTTTTCATTTACCGATTCCATAGAATCTTGATGAGAAAACCTGGACCCAGTAAGAAAACTTGCTGAATGTAATTGCTGAAGTGGGCTGGATGTAGACGGTGAAAAATTGGTAGGAAACGAACGATCAGCCATTCCAGGAATATTAACTGGAGCCGAGCTCCCCAATAATCCAGAACTTGCTAGGCCTGCTGATATTGAATTGCTAATTGGTGAATTAGTATCCCTATGAATTGATTCAACTAAATTTAAAGGATCATCTAAATGCAACTCGTCTAATGCATTCCCTGAAAGTCCAAGGCAAATTAATTACACACATCAAAAAGTCGAAAGGAAAAACGTCAGAAAGAAAGAGAGAAAGGAAAAGAGAAAAAAAAGAAAGAAAGACCTAACCAATCATTCTGAATAGAAAAAACTTACCTACTACAGATTCAACGGTATCATTTGGATAAAATGAACTTGAAAGTGGTGATACGGTAGTTGCTAACGAATGACTGCCCAAGGTTCCATTTAAACTATAAGCAATGTACAAACTTTGTTTTTGCTGAGCCTTCTCAGCTTTTGTTAATAAGGGATCGCTATCTATAGCAACCATTTGTTTACGAATTTCGCCCTGTTCAACAATATTAAACTTGGTGTTAAACCGTTCTCAAAACTCTAAATATCAACATTATAGTGTGTAAAAAGTGAAACTTACAACCTGGAGGAGTGAACTAGGATTGTACAGTATGCTTAACTTATGTTGATTCGAAGTATTTACAGCAGTATTGGAATTCGAATTATGAAGTTGAGCACCAGGAGCTTTACTGTGTGAACTGTTGCTACCAATGCTACTGGTACTTGCTGACTCTGATACTTCACCGCTTCCATTCTACAAATGAAACTTTCGATAAGCGTGTAAGTTCAATGAATTACCTTCGCGGTAATATAACAAAATCTACAAACTTACACTGCTATCGCTAAGTGGTTTATCTTTTTCATGACTGCGCTTGTCAGGTGGAAGCGCGTTACTGAGAATATCTGCCAGATTGGTGCCACAATCTATAGGTACCGCCATGTCCCTCGCCAGGCTCATTTCTTCTGTTGGCAACACTGCTCCATCAGCACACCATACCAACGTCCCAATATATCAATTTTGAGAAGCAATTTTGAATACTAAGTTTATCATGTACGAAACGCCTACATCTATTAGATACAATCCGCAAGACAACTAAACGCCAAAATGTTTTTGCTTTTGCTTTTCTAATAGAAGCGGATTGGTCAGTTAGTAAATCATAAGAAGATGCTTTAGCTGCTGCTTTCGCTCTGCAAAGGCATGCTGTTTTCTTGAACTATTAAACGATATTCTCACTTATACACAGTGTATTCTTGAAAATCAGTCTTAGAGAATACACCCTGTAGAGTTCGATTATTTAAAACGGAATCGGAAACATTTCATATCTGCAGTAATTTTTTTATATAACAGCTGAAACCAGTGTGCCATTGCAGGGTGAGACTGCTTACGAAGCGATTAGCTGTTCCATAAGCGGCCAAAGCCAAAAGAAATGTGAAAAGAACTTTTTCAACTTACTAAGATAATAATAAGTGTTTTACGTACGATTTATGAGGGTACACTCACGGTCGACATGTGCGAATGCACAAAAGACTCCGCGTGGACAATAACCAGCCTGCTGTACATCATTGCATTTTGTAGATTTGTATATTTCAGGATGAAACTGCTGTTCCGTACGCGTATGACAGTACGTACAAGCATCTCCCTGTTCGCAATTTCCTGGTTCACCCCATTCCTCTCCGTGTTTTACATTCGGACACGGTGTAGACCTGAAAAGCAGTGATTACTCAGCAACTGTTCTAACGATTTCTTAAGAATATGCAAAAATTACTTACCGATATTTATATTTACGCGGACTACGTCTTTTATCTTTGCTATTGTGATATTGCGGACAAGCATAACCCTGACGACAAAGTCTCGGTGGACGTTTGCATGGTTCTGTTTTATAGTTACTGAGTACATAGTTTGTATCCTGCCACTTGGGATCTTCGTTCATTAAATTCCTTTCTTTATCCAATATATTTGGTCCATTCGATGACGAATTGGGATCTGAATCAGGATTTTCCAGCGCCTGTATTTCTTTGATGTCATAGACAGGTGGACGAAGATCATGATTGCCATGTGCAAAGGCACAATGAGGTCCATTCTTGACACAGAATCCACGTGTGTCCGTATCATGGACACACATGCAAGTCTTGTAATAACGAAGATGATAACGTCTTTCTGTGTCTCCAGCGGTGCGGTGAAGAAATGGACATCTGTTAAACAAAAGGAACATATTATAGAAACTAACTGAAGAACATTGCAAACTTTATTATTAATTAGTATCAGAGACATGAATCGATATAAGTTGATAAATACATTAAAGATAGTGCAAATTGCAACTTAAGTTGAAAATATAATGTTACATTACAAAAAAAATGGTTACTGATTTATAAAAACACGTATCACAATATTTTTGTGCTCCTTTAAATTAGAAACTAGAGATAGTGGATGTATTTTGGAGGGAAAATCAGTGGTGATTTTCCCTCCAAAATTTCGAACCTATTTCTAAAAACTAAAGTAAAAATTGAAAATCAATGGCCATCAATGAAACAAAAATTCTATACCACAAAGTACAATTTCTAACACTAATTTCAATTAAATAGTATACAATTAGAGTCAGAAGCATCAATTATCGTAATTAAGATTACACTTACTATCTCCATTTCTTGAATTAAAATACAAAAACACTTTGATAGTAGCTCTGAATTATGTTTGATGGAGAGTAGTCATCAATTCATGTCTATCGTGAAAAGTCGTTAAAAAAACTTAATGTAAACTTTCACCACGCGTCGGAGATAATGATGCTCGATCGCGAACAAACAGAAACTGCTCATTTTTTAAATATTTATATACTTTCATTTTTTCTACATCTCTATTCGAAAAATGCATTAAACAAATATAATAATTCATGAGTCAATGGCAAACCGCAATAAAAAAACTTTTTCATTCATCTTTTCATTTGTTTTATCGAAAATTCCTTTCCTGCAATTTTTGTCAATTCTATATAACATTCTCATTCGCTCGTTATTATAACTCAATTCCGATTCCAATAAACAATTAATTATTTACAAAAGTCTGCTCGACTATCGAAGAATTAATTAATAATGAGATAAATGAAAGAGGTGACCTAAATTCTGTGTCAATTGGTGTGTAGATATCTGTAACTAAATAAATCAGAGTCAATAACCACGATGTCGTAAATGCGGTCATTTCCATAATTTTTATTTTCATTCCGTATTGTACTCGCTATACAGATAGAAGATATCATTGCAATTAATAAACTAAAGGAATATATCTCAACCTATAGAACGCTAAAGTAATTAGAATAGAATACGTGGCAGTGAGTAAATATAAAAGCTCCATTGAAAGTTGTAGAGAAATTTCTGTCTATGGCTACCGTGAGGGTTATCTACAATGGATGACAACAGGTTAGCAGTCGACGGTAGTTATATTCTATCGCAAGCAATGGCGGTTGCAGCATGTAAGCATACGTTCTCGCGACGATGCGAGCATAATTTAGAACAAGTTTCCGTAATTTCATTTTTCAACTTTCACTCGGATTCATTTAAATAACGTTTTACGTAACGAGTAATTAATTAAATATTCTGATAATTTTTTTCGTTGGTCACGCAGAGCTGCAGAATCCAGGTCAAATTTATAAAATTAATATATAATTTTAGAAGCTGTTCGTTACGTCATTTCAAACAAATTTAATGAACGAGCGATATCGGGTAATTAACAAATGGTTGTCGATTACGATTGAAATAGTGGAAAGATGAGAAAAGGTCGATGAATCAAGCGAGAAAAAGGCCAACGAACAGTCAGTCTGTACGAGAGACAAAATAAAAAGGTATATGTCATTTCATACAGCTGGATTCGTTCGTGAACCCTGGTCAGGCTATGTGTAAACGAAAGATTACAAAGAATTATGCAATACTTGGATTGAAATTTTGTAATGATCGGTTAAAAGCGTCTGTGTGTTTACACATTGTAATTCGAACCGTTTTAACATATCTAGGAATAGGAGAGCTCTACTATCTCAGGGATTCTCTTTTCACGATCATTCACATGCCTACTTGGTTGTGTTTGTTTACCAACACGGTTGTATAACGTAATGGCGTGTGTGTGTGTCGATTGTGCGTGTATATGCGTGTATCTATGTGTAGATAGATGTATACGTATATGTACGAAAGTTTCGTTGATTCTACGGTGCGTCATAAACTAATTTACAAAGCAAGCAAAGCGTTCTTCGGGTATAGAGTAAACGATCACGAAAGTCTCTGAATAAAATGCATACTAAACATATAGGCGCCTATTGGTTCCATTCTACTTTCTGGTTGTATACACATCCGACATGCGAGTGCAGCAGTAATGTTTTCAAAGAGTTCGAGTCTCGCACTCACTCATACAGAGAATACAGAGAGGCAGGCGTACACGTACGTATGTTTGAAGACGGGCGCGCACGCGCACCCGCTTACAGTCCAGCAGGGAGTTAGGCACGCGTGCGCGCGCGTGTCCTCGAAAGTTACGTCGAAATTGGCCTCCTCTTCGTTACATAGGTTATTCTCGTCGAGACGTTACGTCGTTACGCGTTACCACGCAAATGCATATTACATGTTACAGCACACGCGTGTCAACGACACAAAGAAACTCACCACCACGGACTGCCTGTTTTCCCCGAACACGCATCGATTAGACGACGAAAGCGGTTCCATTCAGCGCGAGAGAAGAACGCATTTACGCGCGATTCTCGTTCACACGACAAACACCGCGTTCACCGCTTTACCGAGAGCGGAGAAGCCTATACGTTTCTCGACCGTATGAGTATTTCTACACATATGTATACTACACGCATCCAGTGGTTGCGAAGGCGAAACAATGAATAAATGGCGCGCGAGATCAATCGAGCAATGCTCCACATAAGAAGCTAACAAAGTTTAAAGGGGAATAGATACGGCGAAATAGGAAGAGCCTTAACGTTTTAATGGGCGACTGGCAACACACGAGAAATCAATGCATTTGACATCAGAGCTAGATGTAAAGATATCATCGCGTATCCGAGGATGCTCTGTCGATGGAGGGATCCATCGGGAAAAGAAGTCGATCGCAACGGTCAAGACAGATATGTACTCACTCGTCTCCATCTGGACATATGCCGGTGGTCTCGTCGTACTTGGTGCAATAATTATCGGCGCTATAGTTGAAGGTGCGGTCCCTCTTTCTCACCGGTCTGCGCCTCCGCTGGTTCATAAAGTGCCAGTTGAAGCACGTGAAGGGTCGGTGTTGTGTGCATTTGCGCTGTATAAAGAGGGGACATTGTTCGACGCGAAATTCCTTCAAGTATCTGGAATGCGAATCCACAGAGCTACACATTATTTCGTGGCGTTTTTTGACGCGCGCGTTGATGCCGCGCTGCTCGCGGCCCTCCCTCTCTCTTTTTTCCGTTCTTTCTCTTTCGTTTTTTTTTTTTTAGTATATTTATTTACATATACATATGTATATATATTTTTTTTGTGCACGTATGTATATTTATTAATGATACTCTTTTCGTTTGCACTCCACTTTAAATCACGCACTTTTTGGCCTCCAATTTTTCCTATTCTCTCACTTTTTTTCACGTAGCACGCGACCGGCCCGGCGACCGCTTACTTACGTGTAATGATTCGCCTTTTCCGCCTGAGCTGTCAACAAAGGTTTAGAGTCGGACTTCATCTTGGGACAACACACAAGCGAGCAACGCGCGCGCACACACACGGACGTACGGGCGAACGGCACTCTCTCTCGTCTTTCTCGTCGTCCTCGTAGCCGCCGTCGTTGTCGTTGCCGTCGCGTAGTCTGTCTTTCGCCCCTTTTCCCCTCTTAGACAAACCTCTCTACCATCTATCGGGCACGGAATGCGGGACGCAGGGCGCGCACGGCGCAATACACATTATATGCGCCTCGATTCTGTCCAATCCCGGGGCTACTCTCCTGGTCACGTGACTGCTCTTCTTTCAAGGTCATTGATGTTTTGGTTCGCTCGCACGTAAACACGCACTCTCTCACCGAAAAACCGGTGTCGCTGGTCTAAAAAATCAACGAGCAATCCACTCTATCGATTCTAACATTTTTCCCTTTGTGCCTCGTGAAACGTCCGTTCCTGTCGTTGCTCTTCTGTCGATGAAAAAAGGGGGAAGCGCGAGCGTCGAAAATGCAACGATCGATTCTGCACACTCGACCCCAATCGAGTTCCGATTCTACGCTACGTTCTCGCCGAAGTTGTTTCGGCAACGTGTAACTGCGTCTTTTGCAAAAACTAACTGCTATCTCTTTCCGTGAGCTCTGTTTCAATGTATGTATCGTGTCCAGAAATATTACCAGTTATGGGTATATGTGTATGCTTCGTTTTCAGTTACGTATTTTCATTTTGAGGGTACTTGATTGTCAATTTATTCCTTGCTAACTCGGCGATTATATATTTTATCGTGCGTATTTTCTGTTACATCTTGTCCGTGGTTGTATGGATTTCTCGTGGTTATGCACGAAATGTTTTTCTACCATGAATGTATAAAACACATTGATACGTGACTAACCGTATTTTCTCCGAATAATTTGTGTTCTTTAATAAAAGAAAGGTAACCTTATTTTACGCGTCGCAGGCTCCGCTCGACGATTACGTACATGGTTTCAATAAAACAATACGATTCAATGCACTCTCACTTTCACTTCTACACCATGCTTACTTCAAACTGCTCCACTCCTATGGCCAATGATCTTATGCTGCGTTTCACAACTTCAACTTCCTTAACAAAATTTTCTATACAACTGGCACGTTTTTCCTGTCGTTCATGAAGTTTTGTTATCATAAAGGTTGTGTGTATGAATCATCTCTTATCGTCTCCTCGCAATGATTTTGATACATATTTAGATACCTGTATTGAGTACGGTCAGCTTCATTGGTTCTTCTCGATGACGATCGTTGAAAATTTGTCCGACCACGTTTCGAGATTTGTAAACCGCGACATGCAACGTTTAAGGCGGTGAGAATCAGGCCGTAACAGATCGTGGCGCTGCAGTTGTGCGAACGGACATTAGACAAACCAAATTAGAAATATTTTCGACCGGCAGGTGGCACACGCATATGTTTCTGTGATCACGGGTATCGGTAAAAATGTAACGGAAGAGAGAAAGCAAGCTAAAAGAGAAGGATAGCGACTAAACATGGTTGCCACATTTCATTCCGCGCCGCAATGTTGCCATGTCGTCAAAACTGTTTCACAAACTGAGTTTCATGAAACTGATTCCTGCTTCATGAGCCCGTTCTGCCGCGCGCTAGGTTACTAGACCAGGGGAATGTGGCGTGCGGGGCAGTCGTGAGCGGCGCGGCAGTT